GGATTTTCAAAAGTGTTTACAACATTTCATTGCACACAATTGTACAATGTAGCTTTGATATTTGTCCCACTCAGAGGTAGAGTCCATGTTCTTTCTCTAGATCTTGTGATTATGGCAGAAATGATGACATGTTGCTTTTGAGACCAGGTCCTAAAAAGCATTTTCCTCCTCCTCCTCCTCCTCCTCCTCCTTCTTCTTCTATCTCCACCACCTCCCCTTCTTCTTTGACATCTTCTTGGGGATCTGACCATCCACATAAGCAGTTAAAGTAACTTGAGGTCACTGTGCTACAATGAAGACCATAGTAGGTCATACAAGAAGGACATGCAATAATCAGAATGGTGGCTTACAGTTGGATGAGCTGTGAGTTCTAGGCTAGCCTGGTCTACCTAGCGAGTTCCAGGACATAGAGAGACCCTGTCTCAGAAAACAAGACAAAGTAGAGCAAAGGACATATGGAGAGATCTTGAGATGAAGCTAGGATCTTTAGCAGAATTCCCTGACAGTATGTTGTGAGACACTTGCTAGAAGCATAATTTATCATACCTACAGAGTAACAGGCATTTATAACAGTTTACTGACTCTTTCATGAGTACATTTGGATTATTTTTAGTTTTTAGTTTTTTCTTTAAACTTAAGCAAATGGGTAGAGTACTTGCCTAGCTAGCATGCACTAGACTCTGTGTTCTATGCCCAGCACCACAAAAGCAGTGTCTTTGTTATTTTTCTGTTGCTGTGACAAGACACTGTGACCAAGATAACGTAAAGAAGAGAGTTTATTTGAGGCTTACAGTGGGTTGCTGTAGAACTCACATCTTGAACAACAAGCACAAGAGGGTGGGGAAAGAGAGAAAAAGAGAGAGGAAGGGAGGGAGGGAGGGAGGGAGAGAACTATGAATCACAAGAGTCTTTTGAAACTTCAAAGCCCATTTCCAGTGACACAACTCCTCCAACAGGGTGAACCTCCTAATCCTTCCCAACTGGGAAGTTAGTTCCACTAATTGGGGAACAATTTTCAAGTATATGAACCTATGGGGACCATTCTCATTCAAACCATCAGAGCTGTTTACAGGTATGCATGCCTGTAAACTTAGCATGGGGGGCAATCAGGGCAAAAGGATCAGAAATGCAAGGTCATCCTTGGCTATTGTGCTGACTAGTCTTAATGTCAACCTGATACACAAACTAGAGTCGTCTGAAAGGAAGGAACCTGAGAAAATGCTTCGATAAGATCTGGCTGTAAGACATTTTTAAAAAATTATTGAGCAGTGGGGCATAGCCCCAACCTATGGTGGGTGGTGCCACCCCTTGACTGGTGGTCCTGGGATCTTTAAGAAAGCAGGTTGAGCAAGTCATGGGAAGTAAGCTAGTGAGCACTAGTCCTCCACGGCATCTGCATCAGCTCCTGCCTCCAGGTTCCTGCCCTGTTTTGGTTCCTGTCCTGACTTCCTTCAATGGTGAATTATGATGTAGCCAAATAAACCCACCCCCCCCAACTTGCTTTGGTCATGGTCTTTTGTCACAGAAAATTTGAGGTCAGCCCACAAGACACTGTCTAAAACAAAATAAAAAACCTTAGACAAGCTCTTCTTCGCCCAGTGTCTCCCACAGAGCTGCTTGTCCTTGTCTCAGAGCTCATGGACTCATGGACAGGTGTCCTCAGCGCGAAGAGGCTGGACTCGGAGTCATCGCCTTGAGCCTTGCATCTGAGAAGTACAACTGCATCCTAGAAGCTGTGTTTTCAGCGTTTTCTTAAGTGATGGCTGCCATCAGGAAGAAACTGGTGATTGTTGGTGATGGAGCTTGTGGTAAGACATGCTTGCTCATAGTCTTCAGCAAGGACCAGTTCCCAGAGGTTTATGTGCCCACGGTGTTTGAAAACTAGGTGGCAGATATTGAAGTGGATAGAAAGCAGGTAGAGTTGGCTATATGGGACACAGCTGGACAGGAAGATTATGACTGCCTGGGGCCTCTCTCCTATCTAGATACTGATGTTATACTGATGCATTTGTTTTTCTATTGGCAGTCCTGATAGTTTAGAAAACATCCCAGAAAAATGGACTCCAGAGGTCAAGAATTTCTGTCCAAATGTGCCCATCATCCTAGTTGGGAACAAGAAGGATCTTTGGAATGATGAGCACACAAGTCCGGAGTTAGCCAAAATGAAGCAGGAGCCAGTAAAACCTGAAGAAGGCAGAGATATGGCAAACAGGATTGGTGCTTTTGGGTACATGGAGTGTTCAGCAAAGACCAAAGATGGAGTGAGAGAGGTTTTTGAGATGGCCATGAGAGTTGCTCTGCAAGCTAGATGTGAGAAGAAAAGTCTGGGTGCCTCATCTTGTGAAGCCTTGTGAAGCGCAGCCTCATGCGGTTAATTTGAAGTGCTGTTTATTAATCTTAGTGTATTATTACTGGCCTTTTTATTTATGTAAATTTACCTAAGATTACAAATAAGAAGTAATCTTGCTACCAGTATTTAGAAGCTAACCATGATTATTAATAATGTCCAGCCTGTCTGATCAGCCAGGGTCCTCTGACAGTGCTCCAAACAGCCCCTTCTGCACTCTACCTGACACCAGGCGCTCAGTCAAAGAATTTAACTTCTTTCTTCTTTCTAGAAAGAGGAACTGTTGGTAACTTTTGTGAATTAGGCCATAACTACTTTATAAGTAACATGTGTTGCCTATTTTCTGTCAACTGCAAGAACTCTGATGAGTCACTACTTCAGTGCTTTACTTCTTAACAGATTCCATTGGCAGAGCTCTGGGGTGGGCATCCAGGTTTTTTTTTGACAACTTGTCCAGCCAGAAAGGCCCAAGTCCACGCAGCTGTGGCAGAGTTACAGTTCTGTGGTCTCATGTTAGTTACCTTATGGTTACTGTGTAATTAGTGCCACTTAATATACCAACAGATAAATATATCTACCCCAGACTAGAGGTAGTATTTTTTGTATAATTGGATTTCCTAATACTGATATTTGTCATTCCCACAGAAAGTGTATTGCTTTTTATTTGTTTTTAAGAAAGTGTATTTGGAAATAAACTCAGATGAAAAATTCATTTTTAAAATCCCATTTTGTCACTTTCTCTGATAAAATATGGCCATATCTCCCTTATTCATCCCTATATATCATTCCAGTATCCCTTTCCAGACTGGACTAAGTAAATAGGACTTTGGTTTCATGCCTGAGGCAGTTATACTTTTTTTTCTGTACCACTTATTTTTCCAACTAATAAAATAAAGGCAGTTTTCTAAAAAAAAAAAAAACCTTAGACAAAATGATGCTAATGTTATAATGTTCTATATATCTAGAGCTGGAGAAATTTACTTTAAGTGTGGTAGTATATGCTTGCAATTTCAGCTACTCACAAAGCTGAGAAAGGAACATTGTCAGTTTGAGGCCACCCTGGGTAGTATAGTGAGACCCTGTCACCTTTTTTTTTTTTTAAGATTTTATATATATATATATATATATATATATATATATATATATATGGGCATCAGATCCCATTACAGATGGTTATGAGACACCATGTGGTAGCTGGGAATTGAACTCAGGACCTCTGGAATAGCAGCCACTGCTCTTAACCACTGAGCCATCTCTCCACCCACTCCCCTGCACCTTTTAAAAAAGACAGGGTCTCAGTATGTATACCTGGCTGAGCTGGAACTCACTATGTAGAACTGGCTGGTCCTGAATTCACAGACAGCTTCCTGCCTCAACCTTTTGAGTGTCAGGATTAAAGGAATGAGCCACAATGCCCAGCTCCTGTCACTTAATGAAAAAAAGAAATTAAAATGAAATAAATTTTAAAAAGAAATTTTAGGTGTCATGGTGAGGTGGTTTCAGGGGTTAAGAGCACTGGCTCCTCTTCCAGAGGACCTGGGTTCAATGCTCAGCACCTGCAGCTCCGTGGGCTCTATCACCCTCTACTGGTCTTGGTAGGCACTGCATGCACGTGGCACATACACATACAGGCAAAAAACACTCACATACAATAAAAACAGACAAACTTTTAAATAAGAGAAAAAAGGATTTTAGTTTGGAGCTTATAACCCAAAAGAAATAACTACCCAAACTTTTTTTGATGTTTTATTTACATTTCATATGTTACTCCCTTACCCCA